AACACACACAACACAAAGAAAAACAATCCACTGGATCATTTGTGCTATATAGTTGTCCCCCTTCTGCCCGTATTAAGGTATTACTACTCGTTTTTCCTTGATGTAGCCAGCACTGAAACGGCACCATGCATGTTTGGCTTTACGACATAGTTTATAAGCTAGTTGCTATTCTGGGGATGCGAGCATCAAAGGTACGACATGGGTGTGTCGGTGGCCCTACGGCCCTACAATAGTCACGATTGCCACCTCGAGCTCGTCAGGAATATGTTGTCAACATGGCCCTCTATACACAGCATGCACATGCTACCATGCCATACCACATCCTTGGATACCAGGTGTGATACCAGGTTTCGGTTTCATCTTTTGATGTTTTATGGATATGTATCCAGGCAAGCATGCGCAAATAGGTGTCCTTGAAGAGGTGGTGAACACAAGTGTTCTAGGATGGTGGTTCAGCGAAACCACCATGAAGAACCTCGGTCGTGGAGATGAAAACCGCCGACACGGGGAATCGAACCCCGGCCTCCCGCGTTCCGTGTCTTGGCTCGAGTCCTGACAGGCGGGGATACTGACCACTATACGATGTCGACCCTCTGTGACGTGCCTACTTCAGCTCGACTCCATGACTCATCCTTTCGCTACCGGGACTCGAACCTGGGTCTCGAGAGTGAGAATCTCGCATCCTAACCGCCTAGACTATAGCGAAGGATTGAATACACACACCTCTTCCAAGAGATGCTTTGAAGGCCTCCTGTCGGGACCAGCAAGGACCACAGCATCCACACCAAATGCTTGCCCATGCATCCGTGATAAATGGATGCTGCACGGATTCTGTAAAGAATCCGCAACTCTTTGCTAATAATAATCGTAACCTGCATGCATAATATGTGTGAATTACGGTGTGCATCAGCGATGAAAGGGTTGAGAGTCGCTAGTAGTCAACAGTTATTTTAATCTGTATATGCACCGGCAGCCCCTATATCCGTGTTGCCTAACTACCGACATCATCCACCAGTACTGGAACACGGTTTCGATGTTTGTTCGACCAACTCACATTCCAGCACCCTATTAGAAGTCATCCGCCCCACTTTTCAAGTTTTTTGGACAGTTTACCATGATACATGGCCAGATAGAAAGCTGGCTAATGTCAGTTGCATTTGCAGGACCATTTTTGCTCCATGC